GGTCCAACAGTACAGGGTCCAATTGTAGGTGGTCCAACAGTACAGGGTCCAATTGTAGGTGGTCCAACAGTACAGGGTAATCCAAGATAATATAAATAACTGACAGAACCTTAGAAACCATTAAACATATGGATCATGACAAGTTCTGCTTTATCTTTTGTAGTTATGTGGGTCTGGGTGGTTCTGAATCAGGTTCTGTGGGTCTGGGTGGTTCTGAATCAGGTTCTGTGGGTCTGGGTGGTTCTGAGTCAGGTTCTGTGGGTCTGGGTGGTTCTGAATCAGGTTCTGTGGGTCTGGGTGGTTCTGAATCAGGTTCTGTGGGTCTGGGTGGTTCTGAATCAGGTTCTGTGGGTCTGGGAGGTTCTGAGTCAGGTTCTGTGGGTCTGGGAGGTTCTGAGTCAGGTTCTGGGATGGATTTGAACACGTTTGTTTCTGCAGTGAACAGAATAACTGAAGTGGTTCTGATGCTCGGGTTCTGTTTCAGGACCAGTACCTGTTCATTTTCACGGCTGTGACCCGGATGCTGGAGCGGTTCCTGCAGGTGGACCAGCAGCTCTACTGTAACCAGCAGGTAAATCATGTTTCTGCTGCTGAACAAACCAGGGTGCCTGTGATTGGCTGAGGCAACAGGAAGTCGTACCAGAGCTGCTGCAGAAACAGGAAGTGGTCACGATTCTGACTTCCTGTATGTAAATCCCAGCTGGCAGCAGGTTGGCAGCGTTCAGAGTTTGAAGCACAGGTGAGTCAGCGAGTTGTGACAGCTGACAGCTGAAAGCAGGTAAATGTTTCAGCTGATTTCAGCTCTTTCTTACACTTTGCTTCATGTTTGTAGCTAAAAAACTTCAGTTCCTCTTTCTGTTCTGATGTTCTGCTGGATCGGGTCACAAACGTGATGTTAGTGCGGTGCTTGAACTGCTTCACCTCGGGGGTCCTGTGTGTGGGGGGCGGGCTCTGGACTCTGCCTGCTGTCACCTCTCTGGCCAGCAGGGGTCCGGCTGGGTGGTCCCAGGATCCTGTCTCTGCTTTGTGTCGGTGATCTGGTTCTGTTGGTTTCATCGGGCAGGGACCCCCAGCTGAGACCATGGTCCTGAGTCAGGCCGGCCCCCCTGCCTCAGCTGGAGGTTCAGGTTCTGATGAAGTTCTGCAGATGTTTGGGTCTGTCTGAGCAGAACCTTCCTACAGCTGTGATGGTTCTGTTTCCAGGTGCAGAAACCCGAGAAGAGAACCTCAGCTTCCTCCATCAACAGGTACTGTGTGTGTGTGTGTGTGTGTGTGTGTGTGTGTGTGTGTGTGTGTGTGTGTGTGTGTGTGTGTGT